AGAGAAACAAAGAAATGCTCAACGTTATTAGTCATCAGGGAAATGCAAATCAAAACAACCCTGAGATTTCACCTTATACCCATCAGTATGGCCAGGAACTCAAGTGACAACTGGAGAGGATGTGAAGAAAGGGAAACCCTCCTCCATTGCTGGTGGGAATGTAAACTTATACAACCACTTTGGAAATCAATCTGGCGCTTTCTCAGACAATTAGGAATAGTGCTACCTCAAGATCCAGCTATACCACTCCTAGGCGTATATCCAAAAGATGCTCAAGTACACAACAAGGACATTTTTTCAACCATGTTCGTAGCAGCTTTATTCATAATAGCCAGAGCCTGGAAACAACCCAGATTTCCCTAAACTGAGGAATAGATACAGAAATTGTGGTACATTTACACAATGGAATACTACTCATCGATTAAAAACAAAGAAATCATGAAAGTTGCATGCAAATGGTAGGATTTAGAAAAGATCATCCTGAGTGAGGTATCCTAGAAGCAGAAAGACACACATGGTATACACTCACTTATAAGTGGATATCAGACACATAACATAGGATAAACATACTAAAATCTGTACACCTAAAGAAGCTAAACAAGAAGGAGGACCCTGGGTAAAATGATAAATTCTCATTTAGAAAGGCAAATGGGATGGACATCAGAAGAGGGAGAAAACAAGGAACAGGACAGTAGCCTACCACAGAAGCCTCTGAAAGACTACCCTGCAGTGTATCAAAGCACATGCTGGGGCTCATAACTAAACTTTGGGCAAAGTGTAGGAAATCTTATGAAAGAAGGGGGAGATGAAAGATATGGAGGGGACAGGAGCTTCACAAGGAGAGCAACAGAACCAAAATATCTGGGCCCAGAGGTCTTTGCTGAGACTGATACTCTAACCAAGGACCATGCATGGAGATAACCTAGAAACCCTGCACAGATATAGCCCATGGCAGCTCAGTATCCAATTGGTTTCCCTAGTAATGTGAACAGGGGCTATCTATGACATGAACTCAGTGACTGGCTCTTTGACCACTTCCCCTGAGTGGGGAGCAGTCTTGCCAGGCCACAGAGGAGGACAATGTAGCCAGTCCTGATGAGACCTGATAGGCTAGGGTCAAGTGGAAGGGTAAGAGGACTGCCCTTATCAATGGACTGGAAAGGGGCATAGGAGGAGAAGAGGGAGGCAAGGTAGAATTGGGAGGGTCTGAGGGAGAGGACTACAGTTGGGATACAAAGTGAATAAATTTTAATTAATAAAATAAATTAGTTAAGAAAGAAAAAACAAAACATTATTTACTAGGAAAAACAAAACAAAACAAAAAGCAAAAACCCAAAGACCTAATAAGAACTTAATCAGCTATGACCATAGCACATGAACATATAAAAGCAGTATTGTGAGCTTGGCAAACACAACACAACCCATGATGCCACTGCTCCATCTGCACTCTATCAAAGAAGGGCTGGCCTTCAACACCTAACCAGCTGCAGGCCGTTTCTCAGCATGCATCATGGGACTGACAAACAACAAACCAAGAACCCCTGAGCTGCATAGGCACAGCCTCTCCTATCACTTTCTATTCTAGGTGGACTGAACCCTTGCATGGGAGGCACAGGTAACGGCATTCTCTCTCTCTTTCCTTCACTTCATGCTTCAGTTTGAACTCTGATTTTCAGGGAGACCTTTCACAGATGTCCCCAATTGGATGAGGCCACTGTCCTCTTAGATCTCTGAAATCTTCCTCCTCTTCCTTTTGTTGCACTTAGCAGCAGTCCTGTGTGTAACGGCCTGGGTATTCGACCATCCTCCTGAGCACTCTGCATGCTTCTTAATGCTTTTCTCTAGCTCAGCTTCTCGTTTCCCAGGTCTAGAGCAGTGCTGGTGTGCGAGTGAGTAGGCCGGAAAAATGAACTGAGAGGTGCTGCACGGAGTCAGAAAAGCAGAACTACCCTGGGCTTGTTCCACGGAGGGGGTCTAGGTTCCACGGAGGGGGGTCTAGGTTCCATGGAGAGGGTCTAGGTTCGAGGAGCAACAGCCGGGCCACCAGAACTTCTAATTTGCTTGATGTTTTCAAGAGGTTTTTGGACTTCGGGAAGCAGAGCTATAATAGGTATAGTGCAGTTCTAGGAAGAACTGTGAAAGCGTTAGCAATTACAGGGCTAAAGACAAAGGCAACCAACCTTACAGGAAGGATTTTTTAAGGGAACATGCAATTATTCATTGACCACTCTTCACCATTTTTTATAATAAAGTGAATATACATTTGCATGACATTCTGATGCTATAAAGTTGTTTTTCTGGCTTATTAAACCAGAACCAAATACGGAAAAGATTTATTCTGTTTGTAGAGAATGAGTCATGGTAAAGAAAAAGCATGCAGGTTATTAATATCAGCAAATTTTGTTCATTCACTTATGTCAGCAGCTCTTAAACTGCCAACATCGCTAATCATGATTACTTTTCTACAGCAAACAGAATCCATGAATCATGAACTTTTAGTACAGATTTCAACTTTCTACAAATGACTATTTTACCAGAAGAACCTTTACATGCTCTAGCTGACCTAGAACTCACTGTGTAGACCAGTCTGGCTTCTAAATCAGAGATCCATCTGCCTGCAGAGTGCTGGGATTAAGTCTTATCACTAAACCATACTACTACTTGGTCTAATTCCATTTTCTGAAAGGGAGTTGACATATATATATATATATATATATATATATATTATAAACATACAAATTTATGTAAGTATATAAATATAAATTTATAGATATATAGATTTATATAAATATGTAAATATTTATATGTATTTATAGACATATTGTTTATATATATTATATGTATATATATATCAAACAATTACTGTGTTTCATCTTCAGGTCAGCAATGGGAAGTCAGCGACTCCTCATAAAAGGTGATGACAGTCTGAGGACACTTCATATTCGCCTCCGTTGCCAGCATCAAGTCAGCCTCATCCGAGCCCTTCCATTTCTTGAGAAACAGTAATTCTCCACTGCTGTCTGTGGCAGCGATTACTCGTTCAGGATCACGACCTTTGGCAAAGCTCCTTGGTTTGTCAGCAGAGTTTAGTCTCTTCGATTTGCTATCATCAGATTCACTGTCAGATAAAGAATTCCTTTTTGTGTCATCTTTTTTTTAACTTTTTTTTATTTTTTATTAATTACACTTTATTCATTTTGTATCCCCCATAAGCCCCTCCCCCTTCCCTCCTGATCCCACTTTCCCTCCCTTTCTGCATGCATGCCCCTCCCCAAGTCCACTGATAGGGGAGGTTCTCCTCTCCTTTCTGATCTTAGTCTATCAGTTCTCATCAAAAGTGGCTGCATTGTCATCTTCTGTGGCCTGGTAGGGCTGCTCCCCCCTCAGGGGGAGGTGATCAAAGAGCAGGCCAATCAGATTATGTCAGAGGCAGTCCCTCTTCCCATTACTATGTAAGCCACTTGGACACTGACCTGCCATGGGCTACATCTGTGCAGGGGTTCTAGGTTATCTCCATGAATAGGGAAATGCAAATCAAAACAACCCTGAGATTTCACCTTACACCCATCAGAATGGCCAAGATCAAAAACTCAAGTGACAACACATGCTGGAGAGGTTGTGGAGAAAGGGGAACCCTTCTCCACTGCTGGTGGGAATGTAAACTTGTACAACCACTCTGGAAATCAATCTGGTGCTTTCTCAGACAACTAGGAATAGCGCTTCTTCAAGACCCAGCCATACCACTCCTAGGCATATATCCAAAAGAGGCTCAAGTACACAAAAAGGACATTTGCTCAACCATGTTTGTAGCAGCTTTATTTGTAATAGCCAGAAGCTGGAAACAACCCAGATGCCCCTCAACTGAAGAATGGATGCAGAAATTGTGGTATATCTATACAATGGAATATTACTCAGCAATGAAAAATAAGGAAATCATGAAATTTGCAGGTAAATGGTAGGACCTGGAAAGGATCATCCTGAGTGAGTTGTCCCAGAAGCAAAAAGACACACACGGTATATACTCACTCATATTGACATACAACATAGGACAAACCCACTAAAATCTATGCATCTAAAGAAACCAAGCAAGAGAAAGGACCCTAACTAAAATGTTTAATCCCCATCCTGAAAGGCAAAGTGGATGGACATCAGAAGAAGAAGAAAACAGGAAACAACCTAGAAACCTGCTACAGAGGGCTTCTGAAAGCCAGAAGAAGAAAACAGGAAACAAACTAGGAACCTACCACAGAGGGCCTCTGAAAGCCTCTGCTGTGCAGACTGTCAAAGCAGATGCTGAGCCTGATGGCCAACTGTCAGGCAGAGTGAATGGAATTTTATGTAAGAAGTGGGAAATAGTAAGAGCTGGAGAGGACAGGAACTCCACAAGGAGAGCAACAGAACAAGAAAATTTGAACACAGGGAACTTCCCAGAGACTCATACTCCAACCAAGGACTGTTCATGGAGATAACCTAGAACCCCTGCACAGTTGTAGCCCATGGCATCTTTTTTTTTTTTTTTTTTTTAACCAGCTTTTTGAGAATTAAGAAAAGCTTCAATCAATTCCGGACAATCTGAATTTTCCTCTGGTTCCCAAGTATTATCAGCATCTGTGAGCCCCTTCTACTTCAGGAAATACTCCACCTTCCAGTTCACTACACTGTATCCTGCACTTTCTCTACCACAAATTCTGCAGGCTCTGCCTTTTCAGCTTTTTACTCTCTCCATTGTTTCTTTTCCCCCATTTTTTGCAATGCAGTTTTATTAGAAGACTTTTTTTTTTAATCGAAGATTTTAAGAGCTTTCTCAGTGTGGCGCCCTCAGGTGTCCTGAGGGCTGGCCAGCTAAACAGCGGGGTTCTTGAAGCAGCACCTGTCCCAGGGAGGGAGCTCCCAAGGCATTCAGCCTCAGGTGTTGAACTTGGATTACAAGTTCTTCTGGGAGGGGCCTAGTCAGCACCCTCTGGGACCCGTACAAAGGTTGTGTGGCTAGAAAGCCGGAAACAGGGTTGGAAAAGGGTAGCAGCAGGGAGCGCACCGGGTGGAGAGGGTTGCAGGCCTGAGCTGCAGCTTACAGCTAGGACTTTTAAAGGTAAGTTTTCAGGAGTCATCTTCATTTCACGCATGTCTGCATGTGGTCAGGCTCAAGGATTTTTCTTCCTTTCTGTCTGTCTCTGTCTCTGTCTCTCTCTTTCTCTTCTCTTCTGCTTGGCTTTCTGTTTCTCAACCTCCTTCCCAGGGAGGAAAAGGAAAGTTAAGGGCGACGGCACGCAGCAGCTAGCTAAGCACAGGACAAAGCATTTTCTTCCCTTTTCTTGTGATAGTTTGAGGCACGGCTAAGCATTCTTAGACTAATTGAACCTCTCACCTTGCCCTAATTACAAAAAAATGGAACAAAATAGAACACAGTAAAGCAAGGATGACCCGCAAGGTGCAGCAGCCTCTGAGCAGCCAGCAGGGTGTGCATGGCCAGCACCCTCTGGTACAGTCGGCTGGCCGTGCACCTCCTCTCTTCCAGACTCTTATTATGACACTAACTCCACGCACTTAACACTTAACGCCTTCCCCTTAACACTGGAAGAGTTTAAACTCAGACCCTGAGGGCATTCAGGTCTTTTCAAGAGAGGAGAAGCTGGGTGTGGGGTCTCTGAGCACTGCTGTTTGTAGCAGGCCACCTCACACACATCCTTCTACCAACCTCACCCACGCGCTGCAGCGGGTTCTTTATTTGGGCTACCTTATAGCAACAGCAATGCTCTTATTATAGATCCGTACTGCTGTGTCTGGCTCTACAGAAGTCTTGAGAATTTGAACTCACAACCTTGTACTTGTGTGACCACGATTTCTCTCACTGAACCATCTCCAAGCCTCTCAGGTATCTCTCTGAAGCTGATATCAACAACTCAGGGAAATACAATTTTAAAAGTCAAGTTTGCTCTTCTGTGCTATCTCTTCTGAATCCTAGTCAGTAATACAATTATTTATTGACTTCCTACTAATTCGATTAACTATCCAATGATTTTTAATACTTCAAAAACAGTTTCTATGATTTTTGATTTTTTTCATTCAGTAACTGGGATGACAGCTGTGAGATTAGCTCTCACTGTAGGAGAGCTTATCTGTTGACTCCTTTCTTATTTTTGTTATTTTCTTTGTGAACAATTTTTGTATCTATTTTCATCTCCATCCTTTGATTTATAGGTTGACAAATTATAGATGATGAGTGCTAAAACTGTTTTATTGACATGCAGTTGCGTTCATTTGCTTAGATAGAGAATTAGCATGTTTTTATTCCTATAGAAATCATCTCAGACCAGTTACCTTCATAAAAGAAACGGGTTCATTTACCTCACATTTCTAGATATCTAAAGTTATATTGTCCAGCTTTGGCACATGTCTTCTTGGTTATATCGCATCAGGGAGGATTGTATCATGGTGGTGCCATATGTGTGCAGAAGATATCACATCGCTAAACCAGAAGCCAGAATCCTAGACAGTCTGAGGCTTTTATAACAACTCTCTCAAGAAATATGACTAAGGTTCTATGAGCAATACCATAGTTTCTTACAAGAGTGAGCTACTAAATTGAACTAGCAATTTCTTACTAAGTCCTGTCTATTTTTCCATCAGTCAACATCATATTAAGGGCAAAGCTCTCAACACATGAATCTTGAGGTCAGCACACAAACCACGGCATATATTGTCCATAACTGTTGTGATTACAATGGAGGTCAAGTAACCAGGGTAGAGACTATGTGATCTACAGAGCCCAGTAAATTATTTACTATTTGTCTAGTTAAGATAAAATGTTTGTTGATTGCTGACTTTTGTTTTATATTTTTCTTTAGTCTGGAATATACTTCGTCAACCAATGTTAAATTTTATTTATTTATTTAGAGACAAGCTCCCCCTATGTAATGCTGGCTGGACTGAAACTCACTGTGTAGGTAGATCAAGCTAGACTGAAATTTACTATTTATATAGATCAGGCTGGCCTTATACTCACAGACATCGGCTTACCTTTGTCTCCTGAGTGTGCCATTATTTTCAGTACAATATTACATTTTAATGTTGCTTATCGTTTCAAAAATATTTAGTTTTCATTTATAATTGCTATTCCTCCATGTCTACATATGATATTTTTTTGCTTCAATATCGTAATGTGTTTTAATTGGGTCAGAGGACAATTAACTCACCGGAACTAAACAGAAACTTGCATTTTAAACTGCTATGTGATGCTAGCCAGTCAACTTCTATTTGTTTTTCTATCAGTTACAGGAATATGGAAGTGACAACCAGATTGACATGGCTAGAGGAAAAGATTCTGAAATATCTGCTTGGGAATGCATCGTTGACTCTTCTTTATAAGTCTAGTGTGCACAAGCCTTGTGTTATCGAGATGACTAAGAAATGTTCTCACCAGGGATCCACAATGACAGTAGTTCACCTGGAGAAAGATGTTGTGGGCGTTTTTATGCTGGAGCATTTTCTCAGTGAAAAGCCAAGTGCTTGTGTTTGGTTTTCATTTGAAAAGAATAAGAGCTCTGGAATATCAGCTTTATTTTTGAACACACTAGAAACCACAATAAAATCTCCAGAGCTAAGATTTTCTTCACCATATGGTTTATCACTCACCATAGACCCAAGCAAACGCAAACTTCATCTAAACAAGGTAGTAATAAAAGTGCTAGGACTTAATCTTGACAAGATCTCTCAATATTTGGAATGCGAAATTTTTCGAGTTGATGGTATGTACAAAAGGATTGACCTTCACATTTGGTTCTAGTCTTTGCAGTTTATGCATTATTATTCATGTGCAAGGGCAAGACAGATGATGACTAAACCTATTGTGCAGGACGAGGACTATAGACTACTGTGAAGAAAAAAACCCAAAAAACAAAACAAAACAAAAACCAATGTATGTGTATACAGATAGAAATGGCTTTGTTGTATCTGCCTCTCTGCTGTACCCCCCCAACACAATTTAAGCTTGCTTTAATTTATGCCTTTCTTTTTTGTTCTTTAAAACTACAAAAACGTTGTAAAACTGCTTCCACATTGGAATGTGAAATTTGGGGTAACAGAAATCTTTGTTCTTGGGTCATGGTCACTCAAAATGTCTCTAGGATAAACAGAAAGACAGAGATGGAGATGAAAGTAGGTACAGGAGAGAGGGAGGAGGGAGAGAAGAAAGGAGGATGATAGCAGAGAGATCAAGAGGGAGAAACTTTGACTTTACCGTTTCAGAGTTTCATGTTTTCCCCTCTTCCTTTCAGAATGCTGCCAACTAGAACTCTCAGTTGAGAGGCCGGGTTACACAAGCAGACCAGCCCTGTTTAGGAGGGAGGCTTGACCACATAGACCGAGCAGTCAGGGGCCTTACTATGCTGTGCTTATTTTCTGTAGGCATTAAGAATGATCCAGGCTTCATAAAGAAGATGGTGACTGCCAAACAGTAAGTTAGGTTCTTGACCTACCTGATATTAACTTTATTTAGATTAATTGTGTTTAGAATGCTGACAATGAACTAGAAAGATTAAAAAAATCATATTACTTGGAATGATAAAAAGTTGTTATTGACAGACAATATTTCAGTTACCATAAAAAACAAAATTCCCCTTTTCCAATTTATAGATATGAATATATTTTTATTTCCCCTTAATATATTTTATTGCTAACAATCATTTTCAGTGTTAATATATCTCAAAGATTTGTGTTCTAAGGTTATCAATGGCTTGTTATAGGTTGAGATTTCATTCTGATATATAAATGCAGTTTATTTAAGCATAAAATATATAAGGTGTTATACTTAATATATGATAGAGGTTCTATCAAAAGAAGCATGTAAATAACCCCATCTCTAAAATGGAAGACACGGAAGCCCTGGCTTAGTTACACTGCTTTCTGGAAGATCTACTGTTGTACTTAATTCCTACATTCTGAACAGGCACCGAGGAAAGTTGCTCTCTGCTCTCAGAGACTACCGGCCCTATAAAGACTTGGTTTCAGAAGTTCGTATCCTCTTGGTGGGCCCAGTAGGTTCTGGAAAATCCAGCTTTTTCAATTCAGTGAAGTCTGCTTTCCAAGGCCACCTAACCCGCCAGGCCACCGTGGGGTCTGATGAAAGCGGAATCACCAAGCAGGTAACCTACCCAAAGATTTGTGAAAGGCTGTGATTACAGGTTACAATGAATGCATTTGTTCATTTCTTTGCAATTTTATCTCAGAAATAACCTTCTTTCTAATCTACAATTAAATGACAAGTAATTAAGTAAAATAGACATAAACTTGCATCAGAATTATCTCCATTCAATAATATCATCCAGAGAAGCCTTTTGCTTTTACAGACCCAAGGATTAGTTACGGGAAAACACCTTTCCCACTTGTTGCAAATATACCACAAGACTATTGCATCCATTTGTCATTGGTTCTATATTAAATATCAAAACATTTCTAAGACTTTCATAAATTGTGTCTTGTTTCTTTTTTTTATTAGTTAATTTATTTAATCAGTTTCAGCCTGGCCACAGCCCTCTTCCTCCTCTCCTCCCAACCCCATCTTCACATCCCCTTCCCCCATTTTCCTCTCCCCTTCTCCTCAGAGAAGAGGAGGCACCCCATGGTTACCAATCTACCCTGGCACATCAAGTCCCTGCAGGACTGAGTGCTTCTTCTGCCACCGAGACCAGACAAGGCTATAGGAAAGGGAGGCAACTGAGTCAGAGACAACTCCTACTCTAATAGCCATGAAGAACAAGCTGCACATCTGCCACATATGTGGAGGGGACCTACATCCAGCTCAAGCAGACTTTTTGGTTGGAGGTTCTTGTTTCTTGATGTGGCTTTATTTCAACATGTCAGCACAGTCTGAGAAGACTAGGCAAGATGCTACAGCAAGAACAGAATCCACTAAGCATTCGCTGAAATGCTTCAGTGTCTGAGCTGTGGTGATGTCACAGACGAGTTCTGCACTTCCTAGTAGAGTGCAGTGTAGGAGCATCTCCACATCACAGTGTTGGAGCATCTCCACATCACATGTGTGAGTACACAGCTCGATGTGGCGCCTCATGCCTGCCATCCCAGCCCTCGGGAGGCTGCAGCACGAGGTCCACGCTGGTTCCAGGCCCTTATAATACAACGATAGCTTTCTTTCTCCTTCTCTTCTTGTCTTGAATGCTAACAAACATCCTTTAACTCAGTAATCTTTTACAGTACAGAATGTATTCTCTTAAATGTGGGGAGAGTGGTGAAAGGCTCAGATTTATGTTGTGTGACTCTATGGGGCTCGATGAGAGGGAAGAGGAGGGACTGAACATAGACGACATACCGAACATCTTAAATGGCTGTGTACCAGACGGGTATCAGGTAAGATTTCTTCCACCCCAAGATACTTTAAATTGTTTCATTGCATCTTTACCCTACAAGAGCATTTGAGTGGCCATATATGATTCTAACATTAGTACTACTCTACTTTAAATGGATATATGGTCATAAGAGTAATGTAAAGATATGGTCCTTATAGCATGTACCATTGAGAAAGAAAACTAAATGGCAGGGCTTGACCTCTCTGAATTCCAGTAGAGGATTGTAGGAATGTTCTGTTTACGTGATTCTTTTAATAATGCAAGCCATGAGTGAAGAAGACATTTAAGTAGTTAATCCAATGGTAATTTATTAGAGAAGATATTAGAATAATTATCCACTGTCTCTTGAAGTATTCCATAGGAGTGAGGCAGCACTGCTCCTTGTCTGGATCTGTGTTAGATGTGTACCCATGAAGGAAGTCATATAATGGCTTTCTAAACCTTAGATTCTAAATATATGAAGTGTAAGGACAGTAGTGTTCGTGTCATAAACATCTGAGAGTATTAGGTGAGCAATACACTCTAAGTGCTCAGATTCAACCATTTAGTACCTTTCTTTTAGGTATGGAATGTAATGGAATTGGCTTCAATTTCTAAACATTGGTCCTTTTTTCTCACATGAACTTGATTGAGAAGTTTGACTAAGTGCTCATTTATTTGAAATTATTTATTAAAAATGTAATTTGTTTTAGACAAAAAGAGAATCATTGAAAGAATCCACAGTTAATTAAGAGCACAGGTATTATTTTCAAGAGTCTCACAGTCTAATGAAGAAATGGAATTGAAAAGTTATAGGGAGAAAGAGAGCAGAGAGGTAGGGAGAGTCCCATCACTAAGACCCTCAGTTTTCATAGCAAAGAGTGAGTCAAATCAGTTCAACATTGAACGCACACACACAAAGTACGCACTTAACACATGTTTGCTATTTTTTTCAAGCTATTTTCTCATTAACAGAAAGATCACTGTCCTGCTTTTGATAAGGGGACGCTAATCTGAAAGCTGATATTTCTTTCATTTCACTTCAGTTTATTTTGCCTTGAAAAAATTAAGAAGAAATCCTAGTCTTTAAATTTAAATGTCATTTCATTCTCCTTTCCCTGTCTGCCCTTCACCATCTAGTAGCCCATTTAAGCCAGTAAAATTCTCAAAGAGGAATCTTAAATGATGCACAGCAAATCTCAATAGTATTTGCTTCTGGATACTAGAAATTTAAGTCAGATTTTTAAATTGTATTCTTTGCAATTTTTTCAATAATTACAGTGGTTAATTGTCATTTCTTAAAGACAAATAAAGCCATTTGTCTTTAAGATAGCTATAGTGAGATCTTGGCAATGAGAAACAGGCAGGGAGGAAGCTGTAACTAAGCAACCAGGGAGGAAGCTGGAGAAGGGGAAACTGAACAGCTGTGCTTTCTGTTGTATAGGTTAAGCCTCTCTGAAAACTGAATATCAACTTGTTTCTATGCAGTTCAACCCAAGTGAGCCAATTCAGCCAAAGCACTTCGCTTATGTCACCTCTCCACCACTGAAGGACAGGATTCACTGTGTGGCTTTTGTCTTAGACATCAACTCTGTTAACACATTGTCTGATAAAATGGTGGCAAAGCTCAAAAAAATTCACAAAGATGTAGTAGATTGTGGTAAGTCTCATTGTATAAACTTTGAAAAATTGGAAATAATTACAACGTCACAGGAAGTTACAAAGAAAGTAGTAGCGAGGAATCTCATGCTCTGTTCTCTTTGGTAAATGTTCTGAGCTCCAGGATGGTGGCAAGCTCAGAAAGGATCTTTGGAAGACTTGACTGAGAGACACCTTAGATGTTAGCCTTCAGGCCTGAAGTACTAGGCTGACTCTAGTTTTCATTTATGTAATCCTCTTGGCTTTTGAACAGACTCATCTTCTCTCAGGAACAAGCTTGCTAGATCAAAACCAGGGTGCTGAGACTGTTACACTATTTTATCATGTGTAGCAACTCATGAAGCTATGTCTACACCCCAGGATACAGAATTATGTTCATCACTGCAAATATTACAGTCTGCCCCGTCACCATCTTTAACTATTTGTGACCACTTCTCTATGGTTATAATTCTTCATCTGAGAATATTATGTAAAAAGAATAATTCATTATGCCACCTTTTAAGAATGACTGCTTTAACTTGGCTTAAAACGCTGTCAAGTTCATGCCAGAGCTTATATGTAGTGATTGTTTACTCTTTGGTTAATGAGTACTATTTCTTGGTATAGTTATGCCAGGATCTGTTTAATCGTTGTCTAGGTTTGGGGTGTTATAAATAAAATGTTTCTGAACATTGGTATTTTCATTTGGGGGGACATGAATTACCTAAAGATTAAACTGATATGCTATCTAGTAAATGTGTATTAATTTTTTAAAATTACCAAACTGTTAACGCAGAGAAATGATACCGTGTTTGTTACATTCCAACTAGCACTATGATCAATCCAGGTTTTCTGCATTCTTCCTAATATTTGTTATTGTTACCATTATTAAAAATAAATGTCTATAATAGATACATAGGCATACATTATCATGGTATTAATTTGCTTTATCTAATGACCTGACTGACTTTTTAGTTCAATGATGCAGTAGCCATGTTCCCCACTTTAAGAGCACACCAGGTTTGCAAATTGACTGAGTTTAGATATATCTCAAAGGAAGCTCTCCTTTTAGAAGGAAATGACCTTCAGAAGATCAAGCTCCATACTGAGATTTACTGGGAATATTGCACATCCAACTCCTCATCTTACAGGGAACAGTGTTCATACGTACATTTAAAACTGTCTTGGCATATTCCAATAATAATGATGTCTATTTGGTACAGGTGTTGGACACGTAGCCTTACTCACAAATGTGTATAACTATGATGAAGTTCTCGATGACGATTTTTTAAACATGACAGAAAGTATGACTTCTAAAAGCCAGGTAAAGAATGAAGTATATACACAGGTGATCTAAGGATAGAATCATAGCCCTGTGCTCGCTAGTTGACTTTCCTCTCTCCCCTTGCTCACTGTGTGTGTGTCTCTGTGTGTTTATTCATATGTGAACTGAGCATTAGGTCAAGGTGGATTCAGTTAGGCAAACCTGAAATGTCAGATGCTCAGAAGATTGCAAGTTATAGGCCTGTTTGGGCTACAGAGTGAATTCAAGACCATGTCTCAAAATAAAAAGTAGCTCAATGAGAGAGCAAACGTGTGAAGCCTTGAGTTCAGTCCTAATTAGCACAAATAAATGGATTGATTGCTCAGTTCATTCCAGTTTATATTTCACTTTACAACCATAATTATCCACATTATAATTATATTCTGAAGAGGATTTATCAAGCCATTACCCTTGTAGTTTCTGCCCCTAAATTTTACTTAATATTCAGTTAAATTTTTAGTGTGATATACTTCATATGTATACATATAAATGCTTCATTAATATATTTTACATAAAAATCATTTTGAATATATTTTCCACAGGTAAAGACTGTCCAAACCATGCTAAATATTCCTATAGCTAATATCTTGATGGTTAGAAATTATGCGTCAGAGCGAAGGTTGGAGCCTATGAAGGATGTTCTGATCTTTTCGGTACTCAGGCATATGTTGCGGGCTGCGGATGATGCCTTGGAAGACTGGCCTCCTGAGGACACTGGTATCTTGGCTTCTCTCTAAAGCACTGTGTCGTTTGGAAAACTCTCAGCTGTACTTCAATGGGGTGGTTAGGGCCCATTTACGTACTGCTGACATGTACTGTGGCGTGTGCTCATTTCTGCTTTTGTGTGTCTTGCTTTAGGAGCAGTGTGAGGAAATGGCACATGCACTGTAATATCAGTCTCCCTGATTTTATTCCCAAACTGATTTCCCCAAGGAGGGTGGCTCTGCTGACAGTCTCCGAGACCCTGACTTTGTTAATGTTTCCTGTTCTGTTTTTGACAGCATCAGCTGATGGCTCCATGAATGACGAGTCACATATCAAGAATGAAGTTGAACCCTGAGACGTGAAAAGAAGAGAGCTGTCCCAGAACAAATGAGCTTCCATATAACTCTACCATCTACAGTTTAATATCTTGATGTCTTTTTCACATTCTTTAGGCAAAACAAACTTGCCTTATTTTTACTTCTCTAGCACATTATACAGCTGTGCTCTAACTGATTGCACAGCAGTTACAAAATGATGTAGATACCTGCTTTTCTAAAGAGAATGTGAATTCTTGGGGAAACAGGATTTGGGTTTGCCTTGAAGTCACAGAGCTCACCGCAAGGTCTGGTAGGCATTAAGAATACTCATGATGAGTCTTCTGTAACACTTTCTCTAACTTGATAACATGCCCTCACATAACTACTCCACATGAATGCGAAGACTTTTAGAGTGAGGTGCTGAAAAGGGAACAAGGAAATAAGAATGGACGGCATTCACTTAACATGAATGTCTCTAAACAAATCTAACTAAAGAAACCCCAATATTTACAACTACATTAGCTACATTAATGTTTTAATTTCATGAAATAAAGTTTCTTCTTATAATGTTGCCATGCTTGATTTTAATTAGCTGAATTCCATAGCATCATAGCTGTGTATCTAAAGTGGAACTATTGAGATATGAAATCTTACTCATCACCAAAGAAAGCTGTCATGCAAGTCTTCCAAATGATTTGAAGTCCCCAAAGCAGCTCTCAAAGTCAGAACTATTGTTAAAGAAAAATAAATCTTATAATGTTCTTTTCAGCTGTTTTTGCAAACCTTCCTAATTCTTCAATTTGTTTAGTTTTCTTTATTTTTAATATTTTATTATTTTGGTAAATGGTTATTTTACTATCTTAAATTATGTGCATATGTGTATTTGTGTGGGTGTGTGCACATGAGAGGTGTATGCGGCGGACAGGCGTCAGGTTCCCTTGAAATTGAAACAGGGGGTCATTTGGTGTGTGTGCTGGGAACTGAAAACGTCATTTGCAAAAGCAGTTTGCACTCTTAACTGATGAGAAACATCTCTAGCCCCTTAATTTTTTAAAAATACATTGGGTTCAATAGACTTGTACCCTGACAGTGTATCTTACTTTCATCCAAATTACTCTTTCTTCTGAGTACTAAGAGGACAAGAATTTTCTCGGGTTAGGTATGAGGAAATGGGTTTTTCTAAAGGAGTGTTTCAAGGGAAGCTGTGCTCTTGTGAATGTTCAAGAGCCGCGATACCATGAGGATACAAAGGTTTCTTTTTTAACTTTTTATTGATTTTTTTTTTGAGTTTCACATCATGTACCCTAGTCCCGATCTTCTCCCCATCCCCTCATATCTGCCTTTCACTCTTACAGTGCCCCCCACAAAATACAAAACCTACAAAAACCAGACAAAACAAAGCATACAAAACACTTCTTGTAGAAGCTGTAATGTGACACAGTGGGTCCTACAATCCACACATCTTCACTTGCAAATGTTCATTGCAAAGGGTTTTTGGTCTGGTTCGAGATCTCTGGCTTCTGTGACACTGTCACTATTGGGTCCTTATTGGGATTCCTCCCTGCCATCCCATTGCAGCCTGTCTTGGAGATCCTGCAGCTTTGGATGAGCAAGAATGGCCCTTTCACCATCCCAACCATTAGCAGATGATAAAGATTTTGGGGTGGGCCAACTCAGAATCTAGGCCTGGGTGGTTGCTGAGCTCAACGGCTTCAGCTAGGCCACCCAGTGCCTCCATGGCAGGAGTCAGGGTCGACGCTGCTGCTCTCAAGCCTGGCTCAGCCCCCACCAACACCTCCAGAGCAGCTCCCTTGTGCTGCTCAGCCAACAGATGAGGCCCATGCTGCCAATTGCTGCAGTTTGCGAGAGACTGGCACAGCGCTCCACTCTCATACACTCCAGGCTGGATCACCTTCATCCTATCCTCCAGGGTCAGCACTACTGAGCTGCCCAGACAGGGGCAGTGCCTGCTCTCCAGAGTGCTGCAGCAGACCAGCTGTGCCCCTCTCATAGCCTGGGACCAGCTTTCCTGACTGCCTTAGGTGGTGGCTGATGGGGGTAGGGGACGGCTAGAGTTTTAAGAAAGATCTAGAAGCTGAATAATACAGGAAATTGATGTGTAGAGACAGAAGTAGTTACGGAGAACAAAGTGTGAGCAGCAACCAGTGTAGCTGTGATGGATGTAGAAAGTGCAGATACAAACACCAGGTGGGCTTTTCCACATTAAATCTAGAGAAAAGGAAGTAAGGTGTGGCCATCATTGCTTGAAAGAGACTGAAGCCGGTTGAGGATTCACCGTTCTCCGCACTGACGATGGGGGTACACCCTTGCTATCGTTGTGACTCTGAGACCATCTGGGCAGAAGGTGGCAAATCTTTATTTTGTATAAAGAGGTGGCATGGCGTAGCCTTGTGAAGAAGATATACAGCCTAGAAGAAAGGTGAGTGTGCAAAGGCTAAGAGAGCAAGACACAGAAGGACTGTCCATAGGATATGCATAGCTGTTGGGAGTAAAAGCCTTGAGGCCCAGTTTACTGTCCATAAAACCCCGTATGCACAGTAATGGTTTATAAACACACACATATCTCATGGAATTAAATATGAAATTGAAGTTCCTACAGGGAAAGAGTGGCAAGAGAGGGACTCAAGAGGGCTGAAACTTCCAACCTCTCTGAACTTGCTGATTCCCCAAGTATTTCCCCGGTACACTGGGAAATAGTGGGACTTACCACTTTGTTGCATTTTAGATGTAGTTCAGGATTTTTGAAACTTTATATAATTTAGCATCAAGCAAGATATGTAGCCAAAGTCATTAAATTCTTTCAAAAAAGCGTGTTAAACAGCATAATAGACAAAGCTTGAGTATACCACGAGGCAGAGGGATGGCGTAGAGACTGACATATTGGTGCTAGCAGCCTTGCAGTCATGAGTAAGGGAGGCTTTTGCATTCCAAAGTGATGGTTTCTGAAATTTGTGCTTTGTGCAGACTCACTCAGTATCTACCTCAGGACACAGAGAGTGTGCTCTGTAGCATATAATCCCATGTGTTCTTAAGAAAAACGGTTTAACAGATTATCACTTCCTGGTTGATACTTTAGTAGGTGAGCCTAGAATTAGCTACAAGGAAAAAGCTTGATTTGGGTGCCAAGCTGGCTCCAGATGCTCCAGAGATGAGCATGTGACCCATCTCTAACACATCCTAACCCTCCCTGCAGGTGGCCATGGAGGTGAGGGTGCAGGACAACCCATCCTAAACTTGTAGCATCGTCTTGATCTGAGGCTGAAGCCAGCACTACCGAGCTGTGCTGATCGGCAGTCTCACAGTGGTCCACAATTCCCTGCCTGCTGTCTGTAGATTTTATAGCAGAAAGAAAGACACTCCCCTATCTTTAGAGTTAGACAAGGCTAACACTTGAAGCACACCTCTCTCTGTTCCTATTCAAATGCTACTGACATACAGGGTGAGCGCTTCCCACTAAGAAAACTAGTGCAGATAGAAGCTGGGGAGTTCTAACCCGAGGGGGATTTATCAATAATCTAAACTCAAATGGAACATCTATGCCTTCTCCAGATTCAAGAAAAAGATCAAATATATCAATTTCCTCTTTTAGGTTTCTCTCTTTGTATCCCAGGCTCTCCTTGAAATCACTATTCTCCCCAGACTCACCAGTGCTAGGATTTCAAGAGCGTGCCACCATTCCCAACAGGGAATATCCATTTCTCAAAGGTATTGGTTCATTAAAATGATTTTTTTTTCATTTGAAAATGTATTTTTCTGAGTAAGAGCATCTGAGTTATTAGCATAACTGAAGACAAATTTACTTGTTCTCTCTTGTCCAGGAACTCGACATATCTTTTCGTATATGGACAATTTAGTCTAAGCCAGGGGCCAGAAATAACAAAAATATTTAGGGATTCTGGTTGGTTCATGCTCTTATTTCTGGTTTTATTTCTTCTCCCTTTGCATGGGAACTTAATAATCAGACTGCATTAAGAATATGCATGACCGTGTGATGAAGACCCCAGCCCAGACATGGGTATGGGGGACACACAGCTCACGGTGGGACAACTGGACCACCATCTCTCATCCCATGCCTCAACTGAGGACAGCCTGATTAACCTCTAGAAGAGGCTCTTGAAAGCAGCCTATCACAGGAGCTGGCCTGGCCTTTCTTCCTTTCTCTTAAGTTCTCACCTATAAACTTGCAATAAACCATTTTTAAGCCTCATTTCCCTGTGGCATGTCACTCATTTTTTAAGTTTAGGAGAAAAAGGACCTGGAAGCTGATGGTCTAGAGTTTCTTTGATGGCCATTTTTAATTTTTGAGATTATAAAATAATCACATCAATTTTTTCTTTTTCTCCCTCCAAACCCTGCCATATACCCCCTCCTTGCTCTTTTTTCAAGTGCATGGCCTTCCTTTGCTGTTGTATGCATGCAGAGACAGACATACCCAGACATACATACATACACACACACACACACACACACACACACACACACACACACACACACATACACACTACTAGATATAACCCACTCAATCTATAAAATGTTTCTCGTTGTTCAGGACTCCAGCCCCCTGGGTTATTGTTCATCTGAAGCAGGAAAACCTCCGACAACCTCAAAGATCTCCTGTTTTCCCTTTATAACACTATTCATTTAATGAAAGGAGAAATCTTACTTCAGTTTGACTGACATGTTTTTTGAAATCTAAGATTTCTAGACATATTATTGAACAAACAAATGTCTGCCATACTGAGGTTAATTTCTGTGGGTCAACATGAGTTTTGTGGAAGTCCTTAAAATGAAGATAGTATATTAGTCAGTGTCCTTATTGCTGTGACCTGATAGTACATTTAAGAGAAGGAAGCTTCTTGGCTTACAGTTTCAGAGTATCGTCCATCCTGGTGGAGAAAGTCTAGCAGAGCTCATGTCTGTGGGAGGTTCTGGTTGAGACCCCTTACATTTTGGCAGATCAGAAAGCAGAAAGCTCACGTAAACATCATCTGGACCATAAATGATCACCTCTGAACATTCAGACCGAGAGACTCACTTTCTTTAGCGAGGCTCCACCTCCTAAAGGTTTAACATCACTCCTCCTGAAGAGATGTTAAACCTGGGGCCACATGTTCAGATGCTCTAGTGTAGGCAGATATGTGACACTCAACTTGCAACACAATTATCTGTGCCTTCTGATGTCAAGGAGCATCAGACCCTGACCATAGGTGCTCAGACAGTATGGACATTGCATCTGATGGCTTCTCATTAACAAAATTCCCGTATGTATAACATAATGTTCTCTGCTTGCCATTGCTCAGTCTCAGCCACAGCTTTTTGGGGATCTTCCCATGTCTCTCTTTAAAGTCCTCCTTGTTGCTCGCATCCTTTGAGGGGTGCTGAGGAAACTGAGAACCTATACTTTTAGAGGGGGTAAGCCACTTGACACAAGACTCTCTCTCCTGAGTATGAGAACAGAACATTCTGAATTGCTGTGTCTGAACAATCAATTATGGCTGCTGTAGGGAGCCACCTTTGAATTGCTTGTTAGGAAAAGAGCTCATGCTTCCTGCTTCAGATCAACCTTACAAAGACAGCACGTCTTCAGTTTTAGTCCTCTGCTGCAGCAGAGCGACAGTTTCAACATCTGGCGCTGTCCAGCTCAACCCCTGCAGGAAGACTAGACTACAAAGCCACAGTACCCTCTCCTCTCAGTTACACAGACCATTCTGCTCGATTCACAGCTGCCCAGGAGCAGCGTCCTTCTCTTGTGCTATGTGGAGGAGGCTCTGAAGGAAAGAACGGATAGGTGAACACCTTCCTCTCCTGGCTGCTAGGACAACTCACTCTTCTGGCTTTCCACTAGTTATCTTAGTCCCAGTTCTTTTGGGTAAATCCTTCAGCTATTTATGGTTTCTAAATGTGGGAAGGAGGCACAGGTTTGTTCTATAGACCTGCACTTATTTATTGAAATTTGCTCTTTACTTTATGTACCTCTATGTGTATGCTGACAGTTCTCAGGTTACCTTCACTCCCTAGTGTCTGACCTCACACACCAGCCACTTACCTCTTCCCTTAGAGATTCTAATGGAAGACAGAGTACAGTCTTCCCTTAAGAACTCTTCCAATATTTTCCTGTCAATAACAGTCTCACCATTCATCCCATGTTCAAGTAAACAATGCTTTTCTCCACTCCTCACTCCTCACTCCTGCACCGGCTAGCTCTCACCCAGCCTCCCAGCAAATTTCCTCAGTGTTCTGTTATGCTTAAAAGAGAGATCGAATCTAGCCACTGTTCACTGCTTTTGTTACTACAATTCTCGAACTGTTCCATTCATCACCTTCTCCTCCTACCTGTGTAAGAAGTAAATCCTTACAGCTCATTGTCAGTATGAGGTTCCTTTAAAACTCCCCAAGAAATCATAGATAAGCAGAAGGCGCTTGATTCTTGCCTTCCCTAGCTAGTCTCTGGAGTCTGCTTGCCAGAGTACTTTTCAGTTCTTTTTTGGGGTGAAATACGTAATTGAGCCAACATATCAGGACATGTGGGAGGATCTTGAGCCCTCAGGGGAACACGGGTTTAGCGTGGGGAACTATGATAGGTGAGTGTGTGGGGGCTTCTTCCCGGAGAAACTCAGCCAGTGAGAAATTCAGGAGGCAGAGAATTGTAATTGGGAGCATAAAAGACAGTGTTCTGCATGAAGTTTCATTTTCCTCAAGTTGACACCTGACTTTGAAAGGTCAGAAAATAATTAATTGCTTTGCTTCTGCTGCTCTGCGTCTCCAGCACTCCTATTTTGCAGTGAAGACCACTGATTCTCAAACCTGCTGGTAGGATACTTCCAGTTCCTTTCCTGCTGCACTCTTCTTACGGTGTAGCGTCTGCAGCGCTAACCCTGTTTCTCCTCAAGACTGATGGACTAACCTGACATTCTTCTTGTAACCAGCTCATCATGTTGTGGAAGGGTGCTTCTGCTTGCTCATCCAGGCTCTAGGAGGGAGGCACACAAGTTTGGAATAAAACGATAGCAGAGACTAAGAGAAGCCGGGGACTTTAAGACGCATTTTGGAAGTACAATCGATAGTAATTTTGCTTTGCATGCCCACATACAGAGACTTGTTGAATTTACCTTTAAAAGACCAAACCTCAGTCCAGTGAAAGCCCGTGCTTCCCCAAAATTCCCAATACAATTTTGGGTTGATTTTGCAATTTAAAAGTAGACCCATCGCCACTGAAGTTGGCCCAGTGCCAGTTTGGGCAGGCACACTGAATTTCAGTTTCGTTTCCCAGGTGGGAAGCTGCAAGCTGTAGGAAGGTTTCGCTCTCCTTTTACTGAAAGCTTCCTTACCGAGACAGAAGGTGCCCTCAGAGGCTAGTTGTGCAGACTGTTCGTATAGGTATGTACCGTAGCTTTTCACTTACCTTATTTGTTTAAAAACAGGAGTATTTAAAAATTTGAAAGCAAGTATTTAAATACACAGATTGGTAATGATTTCCCTGTTACCTGTTTACTTCCTGTTCGTTAGTTTCCTGTGTTCCTTGAGAAGGGAGAGTAATTGAGAACTTGCCATCCATCTGCGCGGGCGTTGGTGTTTAATGAGGACTGTCTTGGCTCTCCCACTAGACTACGAAGTATGACCATGAGAACTCGTTTGACGTGGTTGCAAGAAAAGTGCCTGCGAAAATATTTCGGAGAAAAGCGGTTTTCTCTTCTTTATAAGGCGAGTGTGCAGGAGTTCTCGCAGCAGGATTTGTTGGAGAAATGCCAGGACCAAGGTCCTACCATGATAGTGCTTTACCATGAAAACTGTGTTGTTGGCGTGTACCTGCAAGAGGGCTTCCAGGAAAAACGTGTTTCTATCACTCTTTTTGCACTTCAAAAGACTGGATTTTCAGAATGTGCTCTACAACCATATTTGCCAGCTTCATTGTTCTATGCTAAAAATCTTCTTGGTGATATGAATGGTTTCTTTATACTATTAGATCAAAAAAAGGTGAATATTAGTTCCAGGATTTGTAAAATCCTCGGACTGCCTCCTCAGCTTTCTACCATGTCTATTTACGACTGTGAAGCCTTTCGATGCGAAGGTATGTTTGCTCAGACGAGCCAAAGAAAGTTCCCCTTTGAATGTTTGGTGGGTTCTAGATGACATACCCCTGTGGAAAAAAGACACCTTTGAACCCAGGCTCTTAAATCTGTAGAGATGACCCACACTGACACCTGACCAAAAATTGCTAAAAATCTAGACATGAAATGAGACTGTAAGATCAACTCTCATCAGATTTTTAATTACACTGCAAAGTGTTGTAGCTATAAGGATTATGTTACTCATGAACATTACACTGGGACTTAATTGTCTTGGGTAATGAAATCTGCAGCCCTCACTCCCCTTGCCTGTAGTCATTAGTTTGTTTTTGTGAGTTTCTCATGTTAGAGTCCTAATAATACGCTGACTTGGATTTCCTTGATTGAGCCATGAGGTTATTAGTTCATTTCAGTTTAAAAGAATCCAGCTGCTACATTAATTTGTCCTTGTTTAATGTTTTACAATTTATATTCATAGTTTTATTGATTGCCCCTTTTGTCTTTCGGATTTTTTGTTTGTTTGGCTGGTTTTGGTTTTTGGTTTTTGGCTTTTGGTTTTGGTTTCTTTCAAGACATTGTTTCTCTATGTACCAGCCCTGGTTGTCCTGGGACTCACTCTGTAGACCAGGCTGACCTTGAACTCACAGAGATCTACCTGCCTCTGCCTCTGTAGTGCTGAGATTAGAGGTGTGCTCCACCACTGCCCTACTTCTTTTATGTTCTTAAGAGTTCCTGCATTATTTTTTGTTGTTGTTTCTGCTTTCAGACATTCCTTATTTCCTGTCATGAATGACCACTATTATCTTAAAGTTGCTGTAAGGTGTGCACATAGTTAATTTACATGTAACTACAGCTTTAAGTTTTCTCTCAGACACTGACACTATTTCAGAGAATGCCTTATACAAATCTCAAAAGTTTGCTTTTATTTTGTATATAGTCTTTATTCTTTCAATTTTGGTCATTGAATGAAACCTTTACAACTTCAGGTTTTGGTAATTTAATGGCATTTGCTTGGAGGTTCTTTATATGGCCCATAGCGAGAGTTATTGGAGATTAGTAAATTGATTGATTCGTTTTAGCATTGCAAAACCAATGGTTTCAGCTTTAAATCCATCCAAAATAAGTCTTTTTTAAAAACTCTGAACCTAAGACTGACTGGTTTGCTCCCTCTGTACACTGCAGCACCATGGCTATCTTTGGAGTGGCTAGGCATTACCTTTGTCTTCTCTTTAGAGCCAGGAATGCATCAGTTGGATGGACAAAAATGTGTGCTTTTAAAAAAATGTATTTATATACATCTCTGCACATTGTATCTTTCAGACCTATTAACATATTTAGAGGAAATATCAATTAATATTAGTCTTTTTTTTTTGGTTTGTCTATACTTCCATGTTCTCCTCTAATTCAGCAGATACTCCCAGTTCCAATTCCCATTAGAGCAAAGTCCATACTACCACTGATCAGGAGGGAGAACTTGCCTGCAGACGTCCTCCTGAGCTCTTGTGCCTCTGAATGAGGCTCAGCCAGCATTTCCCCCCCTTGCTTTCTTCCTATGAAAAGACTACTTACATATTTGTCTCCAGTGAATTTTCTCATATTCATTTGACCAGCCAATCTTTTAAGAATTTATAATCTATATTATTTGTTGTTTTCCTTAGAGTTGTTGGATGAGAGGAAGATAAAAGGCATTACTCTGTAAGTCAATGTTTTTTAAAACATTTTATTACTCTGTTACCTTTTATTATGATAATTTATGTCAACAAAATTGATTACAAATTATTAGCCACCATGTGGTTGCTGGGAGTTGAACTCAGGACCTTTGGATGTACAGCCAGTGCTCTTAACCTCTGAGCCATCTCTCCAGCCAGATTACAAATTATTAAGGCTAATCTATAGACCATCAATGAACAACCAAAACCTGTGTCTATACTTGTTAAATAAATTGATTCTAATAATGTTAAAAGAACAGTGAGTGGAAGGGGGCTTTTTCTAATTCTATATACTTGAGGAAAATAATTTTGCCCATGTGTCTGTGATTTTTAGAATTCTTATACGAAAATTTTTACTTTAGAATGTGCTGGGAATTATTATCAAACTGAAACTATCTATAAATGAGTTTTGAGAACATGTTAGAATTGATCTACTTCTATAAACTTCAAATACGTATTATATAACCACTTTTAAAGTTCATCATTATTAATCTTCACATTTGAAGTGGCTGATATTTATTACTAAATTTGTAAGTAAGTGAACAAAAGTCAATAGTTTTGTGACTGATCAGTGTTAGTTGCAAGCAGTGTTGTTGTTTTAATTTCTTTTACCATATGACTTAAAGTAGGGGCATGTATTAGTAATGTTTCAGTTGTTATGACAAAATATCACAACCAAATACCAAAACAACATAAGGATAAAAGGGTTTATTTCAGCTTACGATTCCAGAGGGACAGAGATCATCATGGTAGGAAAGGTGTGGCAACAGTGATGGAAATCCCTCCCTCTTTTCCCCCTGTGCCCTTCCCCTAGTTCACTGATAGGGGAGGTCCTCCTCCCCTTCTGTTTGACCCTAGCCTGTGAAGTCTCATCAGGGATGGCTGCATCATCATCCTCTGTGGCCTGGAAAGCCTGTACCCCTGAGGGAAAGGTGACCAAAGACCTGGTCACTGAGTTCATGTCAGAGACAGCCCTGGCCCAGTTACTAGGGAACCCACTTGGAAACTGAACATGCTGGAGAGGTTGTGGAGAAAGGGGAACCCTCCTCCACTGCTGGTGGGAATGTAACCTTGTACAACCACTTTGGAAATCATCTGGCACTTTATCAGAAAATTAGGAATAGTGCTACCTCAAGATCCAGCTTTACCACTCCTGGGCATATATCTGAAAGCTGCTAAACCATACAAGGAAGGATGTTTGCTCAACTGTGTTCATAGCAGCATTATGTATAATAGCTAGATCTGGGAAAAACCTAGATGTCCCTCAACTGAAGAATGGATGCAGAAATTGAGGTACATTTACACAATGGAATACTACTCATCAATTAAAAACAAGGAAATCATGAAAGTTTCAGGCAAATGGTGGGAACTAGAAAAGATCATCGTGAATGAGGTAACCCAGAAGCAGAGAGAGATATATGGTATATATTCATTTTAAGTGGAAATTAGCCATTTAAGTTCTTAAAATTTGTTATGTTTTAATAGGTTACAGAGTAATTTATTGGATGCCCTTAGAACCTATAAGCCATATAGAGACCTGGTTCATCAAACAAGAATTCTGCTTCTGGGTCCTATTGGAGCTGGAAAGTCTAACTTTATCAATTCAGTCAAGTCTGTTTTCAAGGGCAGGATCACACACCAGGCCTTGGTGGGCTGTGATATAAATGGAATATCTGACAAGGTATGTCTATTTTAGGCTAGCCAGGGTTCTTTGGTTCAAATTAACTGTATTGGAAAAGAATGTTGCCAATCAAATTCATGTAGACTTTATTTAAATTTATAGCAAAAAGAAATGTTCTTTTCAAGTTGTTGTCCTTTTCAGTATAGGACATATTCCATCATGTCCAGGAATGATAGTGGCTCCCTGCCATTTCTGCTGTGTGACTCGCTGGGGCTGAGTGAGAACGCTGGCTTGCATATGGATGATTTATGCTGCATCTTAAATGGCCACATTCCTGACAGATACCCGGTAAGATTATGGCTGATTGATTTTAAAAAAATGTTTGTTTGTTTGTTTTTTTACTACAATTTATCCACTTTTTATCCCAGCTGTAGCCCCTCCCTAGTCCTCTCCTAATCCTATCCTCTTTCTTCTACTCCCATGCCCCTCCCCTAGTCCACTGATAGGAGAGGTCCTCCTCCCTTTCCATTGATTTTTAAAATGTTTGCTTTTGCCCACCATCCACCTCATACTCTGAGCTAACATTGCTGCTTCAGTACTTTAAACTGTACTTGTTCAATTTCCTTTGTTCTTTTTGTTGGAGGCCAGCTTTGACAATCAGGGTAAACCAAGGCAGGGTGTAGAGTAGGCCACTTATCACTCAGCAGACTTTTCTCTGAGGGAACAAAGCTTCATTCACTGGGGCTGACAAAGTACTCCCTGTGGCTGGTGAGAAACTCTTTGGGGGTCAGAAAAAAGGAAAAAGAACCACACACACACGCACACACACACACGCGCGCACACACACACACGCGCACACACACACACACACACGCACACACGCACACACACACGCACACAAGCACACACACACACTTGGTGGATGAAGCAAGCTTCAACAAGCCCTAGCAACTTTAATATTTCTCCTATAGCTTATATATCCCAGTAAAATCCTTCAAGAAGTATAAAAACTATGATGTGATTACATTTATTTTTATCTTAGTGAATAATTTATGGAAAAAAAACACCCAGTATATTTCCCCAACACCTTTACATGAAAAAACATTTTATGTATTACAGGTGAAGAAAACTAATTATTCCCAAGAGCCTACATACATTTGTAACCAAGTAACTTACTATAGACTAACAAAGTGTAGGCAAGCAAGGCAATTTTCTCAGCCAGTTTCTCTTCACTGGCAGGCTGCAGTTTGTAGTTACAAAGAAAGAATCAATTATTTTATTATTTATCGTCAAAAGTGATCTTATAAACAATCTTAAAACAATCATAAACCAAACGTTTATGTAAAAAACAATCAACCATTTCTTCCTTAAGACATCTACTCACAAACAACTTTTATTAATCATATCAGGAAGCTGAGGGTAAGAATGGGTACAAGGAATTAATCATCAGCTTTAGCAAGGGAGTAACATCAGCCAGTGTTAGTCAGACTGCTATTAGTTTTAAAAATCCCTTGCTCAAATATTAAGAGTGTGCCTTTCTAAACTTCAAATTGTTTCCTAAGAGCTACTAAAAAAAATCTTAACTTTACTAACAATCTACTTCTCCAAATTCTTCCTAAGGGTGTTTACTATTGCTAACACTCTACATCTCTAAATTATTTCCAAGGGTAGTGATTGAATCAGTTATCTGCTCCAGCATCAATGCTTGAAAAAGATCAAGCACTATTAGTGTAACACCAATGATACCGTCAAGTTTGCGGCTGGAAGCCTCCATAGAGTTTTCACACAACTCATGGATTGGGGAGGATGTGAAAACTGCAAGAGCAACAGGCAGAGCAATGCTCCGTAACAGCATCAAGTCTCAGAAGCCACTGTGGTTGTGCTGACTGGTGGGCTGCAGCGACTTCTAAAGCCATTTGTTGTTCTTCTGTCATGGACCTTGACACTTTTTGATAGAAATTTCACAAAAAATTTTAAAAATCTAGACGATTCTTGTGCTGCACCTATCATAACAGCCATCAATTGGTCTGTACTATTTTCTGTGAAAGAGACTTCCATCTGCATGAATTATATACAGGAATTCACTTTTGCTCACAGCAAATGTGAGAGCTTCGTGGGGTTATTAATTTCAAACTTTCTCTCTTTTGAGCACCAAGGCATTGACGCTGCCCTAATCAGGGTTACTATTGCTATAACAAAACACCATGACCAAAGAGCAAGTTGGGAAGGAAAGAGTTTATTTAGCTTTTGCTTCCACATTATCATCAAAAGAATTCAGGATAAAACTTAAACAGGGCAGGAACCTGGAGGCAGGAGCTGATGTAGATGCCATGAAGGGTGCTGCTTACTGGCTTGCTCCTCATGGCTGACTCATCCTGCTTTCTTATAGAACCCAGGACCACCATACCAAGGATGGTACCACCCACAGTGGGCTGGGCCCATTAATCAAATGGTGGGAACTAGAAAAGATCATCTTGAGTGAGTAACCCAGAAGCAGAAAGACACACATGGTATATATTCACTCAAAGTGGTTATTAGACATATTATAACATAGAAAAAAACATGCTAAAATCTATACTCCTAAAGAAGCTAAACAAGAAGGAAGACCCTAGGGAAGATGCTCAGTCTTTATTCAGAAGGGCAAATGGGATAGACATCAGAAGTGGGAGAAGTCAGGGAACAGGACAGGGGCCTACCACAGACAGCTTCTGAAAGATTCCACTGATGGAGGTATCAAAGCAGCTGTTGAGACTCATAGCCAAACTTTGGGCAGAATGCATGGAACTTTTTGAAAAAGGGGGAGATAGAAAGACCTGGAGGGGACAGGAGGTCCAAAAGGAAACCAACAGAGCCAAAAACCTGGGTTCTGGGGATCCTGCAGAGACTGATACCCCAACCAAGCACCTAAAACCCCTGCTCAGATATAGCCCATAGACAGTCTCCCAGCGGGTTCCAAAGTAAGGGGAACAGGGGCTTTCTCTGACATGAACTCATTGGCAAGCTCTCTGATCACCTCCTCCTGAGCAGGGAGGGTGGGGCGGGCAGCCTTGCCAGGCCACAGAGGAGGACAATGCTGACAGTCCTGATGAGACCTGATAAGTTAGGGTCAGATAGAAGGGGAAGAGGACTTTCCATATCAGTGGACTAGGGGAGGGGTATAGGGGGAGAAGAGAGAGGAAGGGTAGGATTGGGAGGAGATGAGGGAGGGGGCCATAGCCAGGATAAAAAGTGAATAAATTATAAGTAATAATAATAATTAATAAAAAATGAAAAATTCCATACAAGCTTCCCTAAATTTTGATCTTATGGAGACATTTTCTCAACTGACTCTAGCTTGTGTTAAGGTAAAATCAACCAGTATAGGCAATAGAGATTGAATGTTTGTTTCCCCCAAGATTTCACATGTGGAAGCTGCAGACATCAGTTTAATGACATTAATAGGTGGGGACTCTCAGAAGTATGTTAAGTTTTGAGGATGGCACCCTTAGGATAGAATTAGCGCTTTTCTTGGAAACCACAGACAAACCTTTTTTTTTTTTTTTTTTTTTTTCCATGTGAGGGTACAGACTGAAGATGGATAGACAAACTTTTTCTGGAACCTTGATTTTAGATTCTATGTTCACCCAAAATGTGAGAAATTGTTTTTTGTTTTTATGCCCCCAAAACATTAGAAAATTTATAGAACCTCAACTAAGTAGATGTGTGTCCATCCTTATGCATTTTAGCCCATGCTGACGACAGGAAGATAAGATGAAGAGGAAGTCAAAGATCTGTTTTTGTCTCTAGTTTGCTTCACATTCCTAGTCATCTCTTCATTTAGATGTCAAATTAATCATTAATCTTGAAGCATGAGTAGTCAATCATGATTGTATCTTTCACTGATATCTTTATATCCTTTTGTGCAGGGTGATCAAAATATACAGGAGTCTTATTTTTCATTCGTTAAGGTTTTCTTCTATTGGCATTTTTATTTATTATTTATTTATTCTTTATGATATCTTTATGATTCTTATTTATTTATTTATTTATTCTTTATGATATAATCATTAGATATTGTTTAACATTTTTGTTACGGCATAAATGAATTATTTCTTACTCTATATCAAACTCTCTTGTTTTTCTTGACATTTATTTACACTTGTGGAAGCAAGCTTTCTTGTGATTTATTTATTTTATCAATACTTCATGTCATAATTTAATTTGTATGTTCACATATCCTTGCATTATTCAGAAATACTGTTTCAACTTTTTGATCATGGAACTTTCTTTGATTGCATAACATAGAGACAACATGCAGACATACATGCCTGAAGACAGTTTTTTTTTTATTATAGAATACTTACAACTTATAAAGTAGAAAAATAAATTAATGGATTCCCAGGTACTCAGCTTCAAAATTTTGAATCAAGTATACTCTTATTTAATCTAAGTATTTCACATCTTCTCTTCTCCTGTACCATTTTGAAGCAAAGCAGAGAAACCATAACAGTTTAGGTATAGTTGGATATTATTTGTACACAAACAAATAAATAATATTATACATAGCTTTCTTTGAACATATACATAATAACCATATCACAGCTCTTTTACCTTATTAAATATTATTTAATATTCAAATTTTTATCTCCTTTACTACATCATAATTTCTAGCACTTAATTTTTGAAAAAATAAATCTATTTAAACTCTTGTAGCCTATACACTCTGCTTTTCCTTGCAATTTGCTCTTTGAAAATTAATCAAACAAACAAATAAATAAAGCCTCTGTGTGTGTGTGTGTGAGTCTGTAAGCATGCCATGGTGTGAGTGGACAGGTCAGAGACAAGTTGGGGGATTGGTTGTTTCCTCCTTCCATGTGGGTTCTAGGGCGCAAACTCAGGTCATCAGACTTGATGGTAAACATTTCTTCCTGCTGAGCCATCGCACTGGCTCTGCAGCTTGTCTTTTTAAGAAGTTGGCATGGTTGTTTTGTAGATTCTTTATAACACAGACTCTATTTGCATTCTTAAGTATCACTTTATATGGTTCTCCACTTTCCACAGAATAAAAAAATAGTTAATGGAGTTCAGAGGAGTATTCTGAAGTGGGTTCTATTTTGTGGGTGATGTGTTCATCCACCTGGAGCTGTATAATATCAGTTTTTATTGATTTTTCCAATATTGTATCAACAGTGTTCAATGTGTGCATCATTTATTTATTAGAGTGAATGTGGTGATGCTCTCTTTCCATCGTTATTCATCATGTCACATACGGAAAGAAAGTCTCCCATACCCACACAATTACAGAATAATTGTAAAAACCAGGATATAAAAACAGGCTTGATTTTTTTTTTCTGCTTTGTGAACTTTTGAAAATAATAAATTGTTTTCTGAATATTTACATTAGTGACCAGTTTCTAATTGTGAACCCAACATAAACGGACTGTATTTGATACATATTGATATATTGTAATTTTTTCATTTTCTAATGCTGGGACCAATAAGGTACCTCTACAAGCTGAATGCCAGGTCCTTTGACAGAGACACAAGTCTTTTCTATGTTTCTTGTTTTGTGGTGTAACTGGAGACCCCAGCCACATCTTGTGAATTTCCAGTCCTGTATTGTGAATTAGTTGTTTCTTCACAAAGCCATGGTTTGCAGCATTGGAAAAGTTGTTGCTACTTTGTTGGTCATTTTTCCTTGTCTTTTTCAGGAAAACACAGACTTTTCTGATAAAATATCTTCTAAATTCAAAGACACATATTCAAATTCAGGACTGGAAACATTTTATTTAGTCTTTTCTAATTATGTTTTATTGACTTTATTGTAATTTGAGAATTCTTGTTTTCAAACAGTAGAGTTGATAAAATACTGCATCAGCTAACTTCTCCAGCTCACACATTAGTCTCAGAACAGATTCTATGTAACTTAACTAATCATAGTTAATATTTTTAGTAAAATAACAATCAAAACTGGAGACAATGTAACAATTCTAGAAGAGCTTTGTACCATGTTGAGAATGCACCATGTATCTTTATAGGGTGTACTAATTACACTGTGGTTACAGTCAGAAATAATTTAAATATCAAGTTATTGCAACTAAATACAATGTTTAATTTGATTTATGAATTTGTTTTAGCAGTTGCTTTTTCTTTATTTTTATATTTCTTTATTTTAAATATATAACTTATATGTTTAAAGTTATATATTTAAAGTTAAGTATATATACTTATTAGTTATATATGTAAAGTTAAATTTGTAGAATAAAGAATATTCTTAATCAGTTAAAGAAACAATGTTCTTTCTCTGCTTATTCAAACAAATCCCTTTATTCTTCCTATAAGAAACATAACAAATTTATAACTTTCTTTCCTTTTGTAATATGAAATAAAATGCATACATACTTGCATTTCCTCTTCTTTTAAAGAAATGGTAGTGTCTTATGGCTGACTGGTATACCATGCTTTTGTTGTGTGAATAGGCCTACAGTCAAAACACTGTGTGGATAATGTTTGTGTAGAGGAATTTTAATTCAGAACATGGTTGCACTGGCAAGAGATCACATCTAAAGACCCAGGAGATAGAGACAAGGAGATCTCTGAGTTTAAGCGCAGCCTGGTATAGAACAACTTTCAAGTAAAGAAAAGCTTAGGTCCAGGCATGGTGGTATACTCCTTTATTTGCAGCACTCAGGAGACAGAGAGATGCAGATCTCTGTGTTCTAGTCAGTGTTGTTTAGGCAGTTCAGATGAGAGTGAGTTAAGAGACATTGCAGTGGAGTTAGTCTGTGGCACTTCAGTCCCTGGTATTCAGAGACAGTTTTTACCGGAAGAGTTTTACATAGAGATGCTGAAGAGATAACAAACTAAACACAGGTGGAGAGAGAATGAGCTAGAAAATGAGAAGGGGTTAGAAGATTAGAACAGATTGCTAGAGTTAGTTTGAGTCCAAGCAATGCAACTCAATAAGAAACTGGGAGAAGCCACATTGAATCAGGCAGCTTTGAGAGGAATGTTAGCCAGAACAGCTGAATTGAATCAGCCAGCCCAGAGCTGAGTAAGAACTAGAAAGCTCATTCAGCAGGAAATCTCAGAGGCTGAAAACATTCTAGGCCTAGGTTAGATTGTACAGAGGCTAGAAGCCTCCAGAACTAGGCCTAGGTTAGCAGACGGAGGTAGTAAGCCTCCAAGATGACAATTACTTCAGGTAAATAAAAGTTACTTTAACAGTTTTCATCTTTATGCTATTAGTTCAAGAATCATGGCACCATCCCCATCATGAAGCATTCTCCCTCTTCACTCACTGCATGTTGACTCCAACTTTCTTTCTGAATGTATGACCTCTGTCTTCACACACATGGTTTCTTTTATCTAGAGCACTTCCTGCCATAACCTTATTCACTTTCTGAAGAACTCTCTTTCATTATAGGCCACAGATTATGTTGTATCCCTTTATCAGAGAAGCATTACCAGGCTGTGTCAAAGAACTACTACTCGTGCAATTACTGCCTTTTCCATCTTATGGTCAGACTTTAATATCAGATATCATTGAATTTTGTTCACATGCATAATTTATGAATAAACACACTCTGTGATGATTCCAACTTTCTTTCTAAATGCTCTGAATTCTGTCTTCTTAACTACTTCACAGTTTAATTCCGTTAAACCAATTACTCCAAACCATCCAAACTACATTCATGACCCACTGCTGAAGGACAAAATTCATTGTGTGGTGTTTGTGTTTGATGCCAATTCTGTTGAAAAGCTCTCTCGTGGACTGGTGGCAAAAATCAAACAGGTTCGGAAGGATTTGATAAAACGTGGTGAGTGTTATCTCCTTTTGCTACTGAAGGTAACTTTACACAAGAATCCTGGGGTGTGAGAGGAAGCACTACAGTGCTTGCAAATGTGAGGCCTTCTGCCTCATCAGCATGGTAGTTTTTTTGGCTTTATTTTTTCTCTTGGACCTTAAGGGATTAGAAAATAGAAAGAGATATTTGAGATATTCTATACAAAAAAAAAAGAAGAAAAGAAAAAAGAAAGAAAGAAAAGATTTATAAGATGCCTTAGTAGACAAAAGCAACAGAAAGGCAGAAGGCAAACACAAGCTGGTGCCCATCTCTGGCTTTTCTTGGTTTTATCCGTTGGAAAGAGTCCATCACAGATTTGGCTAAGAAGCAAGGAATGATTTATTTACCTGACCGCTGAAATGGAAAGGTTTAAAAACTTGTGAAGGGACATTTTTGTCAATACTGTAAGTAGCTTGTTCATGCGGTCACAGTGGTTTCTCTCTCTTGGAGTGTCTTCCCTCATATTCTGTAGCATTTTCTATAGTCTCCATTAAGAACACATTTAGGGTTGAAGAGAACTGGCAATAATATGGGGTAAATTTTAGTTATTTCTTCCGAGAAATGGTCTCTTGCAAAGTTTCATTTTTTAGCTTGGAATGCAGGAGACATTTCATGCAGGAGAAACTCCAGTGTGTGTTGTATGTGAATGAGGTGGACGGGACTCTGGAGGTGGAGAACTCGCTAAAGCCAAAGCTGCCCTATTGCTTGCTTGCAGCAAAATTGATAATTTACTAACTTAGAAATGCTGATGAAAAATTTAAAAACCTCAACTGTTGTAACAGGTCACAGTAGGAAAATCACTGGAAGGACTCAGCAGGAAAAGTGCTTGCCTTTTAAGCAAAGCATGAGGACCAGAGAACTTTCAGATCCCCATCATAAATGCAGAATGGGCATGGTGGGCTGCCTATAATCCCAGGACTCAGGAACAGAGACCGGGAATTGACAGAGAAAGCTGGCTAGTTACACTAGCTGAACTGGGGAGCTCTGGTTTCAAGAGATGACCCTCCATGGGTATATAGAGTTCAGAGTGAACGGAGAAGGTTGTCAGAGCTCCACCTGCATACATGAGCTAGCCCAACCCCCAGCCCCTCCCACAACCACAGCTTCATCGATTTATAGTCAGTATGGGAATGTCTTAAAGTTTTTTCTTTTTGATGTTAGTATTTATTTATTGAGACATAATTCACATAAGTCAAGTATAAAGAAGTGCTGTTGATTTCTGTCAGGATAAAATCCTATGTCTTTCTTTGATGCAGGCATACTCCATTTGGCTTTGCTTACACATGTGGATAGACTGGATCTGATTACAAAAGGAGACCTGATAGACTTATACAAATGTATCCCTGTGACGCACAAGGTAATAAGAGTTTTCTGAGGAATGTCATTGATACGCATAATATTCAACCTCATATAAAATAAGACAACAAATAACTACTAAACTAAAGAAGAATTAAAATAATTGCCAAAATAGGATACACTTCCTAGGCTTAACATATTGAATGTCCATACAATTTATCTATGTGTTAAACTTTGTTTAATTACACTTGCTGCAATTCAATTTAACAAATATTTATTGACTTATTTATGATCAAACCAATACTATAGCCTTTAATCTGATCACAGCTAATAAAGACAATTATTGTACTAAAAAGCTTATAATTTTATAGACAGAGGTGAGGGTATAGAAAGAGGAAAAAGAAAAATAGGCAGAGGAACATGACATGATTACATATGATAAAAATCATGTAAGGAAATGGTGAAGATCAGAGAAATATGACATGATTACATATGATAAATATCATGTAAGAAAATGGTGAAGATAATGTGTCTTGATGGTTTGAAGGAAAAGAATGTCACAGGGGATGACTTCGCTGCAAAAGTGACACTGAGAGACACTGTCCAAGCATTTTAGTAAAAGAAAAGACAAAAAGAGGAAACAATTTTGGCAAGGGAAGTATGAATTTAAGTCTTACAGTATGAAAATGTAGTATGTCTGAGACACATGGAGTTCTCAATGTAATGGACAACTAAATATTTGAAATAGACAGAAATGCAGAGGCTGGAGGTGACGATGCTTCATTTTATGATCTTACATCATAGAGAACCATAGACATTAGAAAGTTGCCATATAGTCAACATTAAGATTTCTGTACATCAACATAACTGCAGAATAGATTGGAGTCAAAAAGATGCAGAGGCATGTCAAGATAGGCCATACTTATCCACCATTATATATGTGATGGATTTCTCTTTTCTTTTTAATTTAATTTAATTTATATGTTTATTTATTACAATTTATTCACTTTGTGTCCCTCTGCAGCCTCCTTCCCTCATCTCCTTCAAGTCCCACCCACTATCCCTCTTCTCCTCCTATGTTCTTGCCCTAGTCCTCTGGTAGGGGAGGACCTCCTCCCCTTCTATCTGGTCGACCCTAGCATATCAGGTCTCATCAAGGCTGGTTGCATCTTCCTCTGTAGCCTGGCAAGGCTGCACTCCCCAAGGGGAGGTGATCAAAGAGCTGGCCACTGAGTTCATGTCAGAGACATCACCTGTACCCCTTACTAGGGTACTCACTTGGAAACTGAGTAGTCTACGAGCTTCCTTTGAACAGGGTGTCTAGGTCCTCTCCAGGCATGGTCCTTAGTTGGAATATTGATCTCTGCAGGGCCCCTGGGCCCAGGTGGTTTGGCTCTGTTGTTCTACTTGTGGAGTTCCTGTCCCCCTCGCCCCCCAGGTTTTTCTAGCTCCCTCTTCTTTCATAAGGATTCCGGTACTCTGCCCAAAGTTTGGTTATGAATCTCAGTATCTCCTTCGATACCCTGGTGGGTAGAGTCTTTCAGAGGTCCTCTGATAGACCACACTAGCAAGGCTACGACATAGGTGCAATTAACACTGTGTGACAGAGGAGGAGACAAAATGAACTAGAAGCTAGTCTTTGCCAACATTTATTTAATAGTGATAAGAAATGACAACGCTGAATTGACAGCTTAGTTGATCTATGTTCAGGATAAACTAGGGTAAAAAAGAATTAAATATTAAGTTTATCTAATAAAACCGGTTTATCCTGGACATGCCTTGCGAAAGGAAACTGGAATTTGTAGACATTAGCCCATGTGTGTTAAAATGGCTTCAGTTTTGTAGGAATCCCTGTAGAACAGGAGTTGCTATACATTTTCTTTGTTTTGAATTGCTGTCTTCCTGACATCCAGGCTTTGGTACTCTACACAGGAGCAGAAACTGCTTAGGACCATCTGGCCTCATGTGTCCTGCTCATGTCAAAATTTATGCCCACGTCTACAGCAATCTTCATGATTGGTCCTCATGTTACTGACCTTACTCTGCCACTTTCATTTCTCTCCTGGCGATGCTTCCTTATTCATGGTCCGAGGAACCTGCCCTCTTCCCTTTTATCTCCCTCTATCCTTCTGTCTCTTCCTCCCTTCTCCTCCTCTTCATCTCCAGTTTTGCTTCACTTCCCTCCCCATTCCATCTCTTTTTTAAGAGTTCTCACTTTTTCCGTACAATATATTTTGATCATATTTTCCCTTCCTCCAGTTCATCCTATTTACTCCCTAACTTCCTATCTACCCAACTTTCTATTCTCTCCCTGCCAAAAAAAAAAAACCTAGACAACACAACACAACAAAAACAAAGAATCACAAAAGCAAAATCAAACATACCAAATACTGATGATGATACATTAAAAAAACTCTACAAAAAAAAAAAACAACAAATCAAACAAGCAAAAGACCAATAAGACAAAAAAAAAATAAGTCAACACAAAATAAAAGAAAACACAAACAAACAGAAAACAATGAAGTTCATTTTGTGTTGGCCAACTGTTCCTGGGCATGGGGTCTAGCCTGGAATGAAGGTGATAAACCCAGTGACACTTCACTGGAGAAAACTAAGTTTACTTTTGCCAGAGGTTATCAATTCCAGATAGCTCCTTAGTTATGGATGGCACTTTAAGTTCACTTCCACCTTTCAGTGCTAGTATTCTCTCTTGCTTGAACCTGTGTAGGCCTTATGCATTCTGCCACATTCTCTGTGCGTTAATATGTGTGTCATGTCCTGTTGTGTCTGGAAGACACTGTAATTATTGCAGTCATCTATCACTTCTGTTTGTTACAACATTTCTGCCTCCTCTTCTGTATAAAATCCTGAGCCTTGAGAGGAGGAGTCCAATGAAGACATCACGTTTAAGGCTGCGTGCTCCAAAGTCTCTAATCCTCTGTACACTGTAGTTTGATTCTCTGTGTTAGTTCTTATCTACTGTAAAAAGAAGCTTCTCTGATGTGGGTTGAGTAAGGCAGAATGTCATTACAAGTCATTGTATTGCTTTATTCCTTTAGCACAATGATAGTATGAGGTTTAACCTAGACCCACAACCAATCTCGTTTCAGGTTCTTAGTCACTTCAGTAGTGCCAAGGATAATTTCCTTCTCATGGAGTGTCCTAAACATCCAACTCGAAAGTTGTTGGTTATTCCCATAACATTTGTGCCACTATTTTACCAGTATATTTTACGGAAAGATCACTACGGAAGATGTACGGAAAGCTTACAGGCATGGTAGCTGGAAGCCATCTTTCTCCTCCTGTAGCATACAGAGTACCTTCTCTCACCTTGAGGCTTTTAGTCAGGCTTTTAGCTCAGCTTCTCTGTGTTGTATGATATAAGTAGTTGTCTTAAGCAATGAGGCTTTACCATTAAATTGTGGAGAGAAACTAATAGCTTGGCAATAGCTATTAGATATTAATAGCTATTAATATTAGATAAAATTAGATATAAATAGCTATTGGGGGGAGGATGTCCATGTGGTCCCATTGACCAATGATTCAAAAAAGATTTAAACCATTTTTGGCCTGGGAGGTTTAATTTGGCATAATATTCCTTTCATATTATGTATACAGTTTAGGAATTTTATACTTACTAATCTTATACTTTAGTGGGTATAAGATTTGTAATCTTTCCGTATTATTTTTTTTAAATTTGCCTTTAGTGTTAATTGTCCTTCCTCATATTTCCTACTTTACCCCTTTCTCTAGTTTCCCTTCCTATTTATTCTTCCTATTCTAATTACCACCTTTATCCCTCTAAAACTACTTCCAGAAACTGGAAAGAGCCTATGTATCCATCAAATGATAAATGAGTAATGAAAATGTAGTATGTTTATGGGGTGGAATATTATTCAGCTGTTAAGAAAATGAAATTATGAAATCCAGAGCTAAGTAGGTAGCTCTACAAAAAAAAAAAAAAAAAAAACAAAAAACTAGATTTACCTCTAAACTAGATTTACCATTCTTTGGGTGATTCCTCCCTCTACCCTTTAGTCCCTTACTAGGCACCCAAACTCTGTGATTATTCAGATTGTAGCACACATATAAAAACCTTAAATGTAACTTACATACACAAGAAAAAACATACAATATTTGTATTTTGGGGTCTGGATTATTACACTCAGGATGAGGTTTTTTTTTTTTTTGTAGAGCTACCTACTTAGCTCTGGATTTCATAATTTCATTTTCTTAACAGCTGAATAATATTCCACCCCATAAACATACTACATTTTCATTACTCATTTATCATTTGATGGATACATAGGCTCTTTCCAGTTTCTGGCTATTAGAGTAGCAATGAGCATGGATGAGAAACCATCTCTGTAGTAGAATGTAGAGTCCTTTGGCTAAATGTCTGAAAGTGTAGCTGAATTTTGAGGTAGATCCATCACCACCTATTTGCATAGGAACCACCGCACTGATTTCCATAGTGCTTGTACCACTTTGTTCTCCCACCACCAAGGAATAAGTATTCCCTTTCCCCCAAATCCTCAGGAGTGTGAGCTGTCAATTGTTTTGTTTATCTTGGCAATCATGACTAGGGTAAGATGAAGCTTCAAAGTGTTTTTGATTTGCATTGACTTAATGGCTGAAGATGTTGAGCATTTCTTGAAATTTCTCCAGTCATTTGTGCTTCATCGACTGAGATCTCTGATTAGTACCCCATTTAAAAAAATGTTTTTGCTGTTCTTCATGCATTTTAGATACTAAACCTCTATCAGATGTATAATTGTAAAATTTTCCTGTTCTGTAGACACTGCTGTTTTGCCCACATGATGGTGTCCTTTGTCATAAAGAAATTTTTCAATTTTATGAGGTTCCATTCATTAGTTGTTGGTCTTAGAGCCTAATAATGGTCTTAGTGGTAATATAATGGTGTTCTGCTTAGAAAGTCTCCTGTGCTAATGAGTTTATGGTTATGCCATACATTTTCTTCCTCCTCCTCCTCCTTCTCCTCCTCCTCTTCTTCTTCTTCTTTTGCAGTAAGATATACTTTTATTTTATTAACTTTTGTTAACTTTTTTTTACAAAAGTTGTTTTTTTTTAACTTTTATTAATTACACTTTATTCACTTTGTATCCCCCATTCACTTTGTTGCCCTCCCCTCCTAATCCCACCTTACCTTCCCCTTCTTCACGAATGCCCCTCCCCAAGTCCACTGATAGGGGAGGTTCCCCTCTCCTGCCTTCTGATCTTAGTCTATCAGATCTCATCAGGAGTGGCTGTATTGTCATCTTCTGTGGCCTGGTAAGGCTTCCCATCAGGGCAACTGTTGGGCAGAGTGCATGGAATCTTATGAAAGAAGTGGGAAATAGTAAGATCTGGAGAGGACAGGAACTCCACAAAGAGAGCAACAGAACCAGAAAATTTAAACACAAGGGTCTTTCCAGAGACTCATACTCCAACCAAGTACCATGCATGGAGATAACCTAGAACCCCTGCAGAGATGTAGCCCATGACAGTTCAGTGTCCAAGTGGGTTCCATAGTAATGGGAAGAGGGATTGCCTCTGACATAAACTGATTGGCCTGCTCTTTGATCCGTACTTTCTCTTCTATGAGATTCAGTGTATTTGGTCTTAAATTGATGTACAAAACTCAATTTAAAGTTGTTTTGTGCAGAGTGGTAAATATGGATCTATTTTTTATTCTTCTACACACAGCCACAGTTTGACCAGCACCATTGGTTGAAGATGCTGTTGAAGAAGCATATTTCTGTCTTTTTTAACCAACAATTAGGTGTCCATAGGTGTCTAGGTTTATGTTTGGGTCTTCCATTTGTTTCCACGATCAATGTGTCTGTTCTTTCTTTCTTTCTTTCTTTCTTTCTTTCTTTCTTTCTTTCTTTCTTTCTTTCCTTTTCTTTCTTTTTTTCTCAAGGAAGCTTTTCTTTGTGTAGCCTTGGCTGTCTGAACTTACTTTGTAGACCAGGCTGGCCTTGAATTTACAGAGATTTACCTGCCTCAGTCTCCCTGAGTGCTGGGATTATAGGAATGTGCCACCGTGCTCAGCTTCAATATGTCTGTTTTTGTGCCAATACCATATGGATTTTTATTGCTGTAGCTTGGTAACACAACTTCAGATCAGAGATGGTGCTACCCCTTACCAGTCCTTCAGTCATCTCATTATTCAAGATTGTTTCTGTGAACTTGTTTTGCTTTTCTTTTTTGTATGTGTGTTTTCATATGAAGTTAGAGATGTTTTTTAATTTTTGTAAATAATTATGTTGGGATTTTGATGGAGATTGCATTGAATCTGTAGATAGATTTTGGTAGGCTGGCCATATTTACACTATTAATCTTACGGATCCATGAACATACCATTTGTTTTTAATTCAAGTTGGATATATTAATGCATTTTAAATGAAAATCAGTGACATTGGAACTTGGTGTGAAGTTCTACAAGAAAGTACTGCAGAGGAGCAGAGGATATAATTTCTGTTTTTCAAAAATATAGAGAAATGATCACCAAACTCTTTTATTACTTCTCTTATAATTTATATTGATATTAGATTTTTACTCTTTTTTTTTTTTACTCTGAGAAACATACTCTGAGAGGTTGGGTGTATGTTTCTCTGTGTGAGCGTACATGTGTGCTCATGCTTATGTGTGTAAAATTGCTTATGTGTATGGATTTCCTAATTCAATGTTAGGTCTTTTCTCCATTTCATTTTCTGAGACAAAGTCTCTCACTGAAGTTGGAGCTCACTTATTTGGCTGAAATGGTAGAGCAGCGAGCCTCTGGGATCCTCCTGGCTCTTCTCTAGTATTGACATCTGTTTTGATATGTGTCGTCATGGACCAAACTCTTGTCCTCACTTTCACACAGCTCTGGGTTTTAAATTTTGTATTTCAGCTAAAAGCAGTCCATAGAGACTTTGGTTTTGCCTTTTCTGATATCTTGATGGTTAGTAATTATGTCGCGGAATGGGAGCTGGACCCTGTGAAGGACATTCTGATCCTCTCTGCGCTGAAAGAGATCCTGCACACTGCAAATGAGTTCTTAGAGGATTTGCCTTCGAACACACAAGTAGACTAGGGATCTCCGAGCTTGAAGGTATCGTCAGTTGGCTAATTCTTGTGTGGGTCTGATGTTTTCCTGGGAGGTCTGCTTCTTTGGGCTGTCTGCATGTGAGTAGCCCTGACCTTTAACCTACTGGCTGAAAATATTCTCTGCACATTTTTTCCCTTCCTTCCTTCTTCCTCCAATCTGTCTTGGAGAATCTTCATAACTTCACTGTTGTTTTAAAAAGAAAATTATGAAATGATCTATATCTCCCACTGCCTGAAAAGTCTGTTTTCACCCTTGCCCTCTTCTTTCCCACTGGGCTGCCTTGCTTGGGATCTGGAACTGGATTGAATCAACACTGTCTCTCATCAGCTGTGATCTTACAGGATCTGTCCCTTAGGACCAAATGCATCTGATATAATACATACATAAGTATGAAAGATAAATATAATTATCTAAAGATCTAGTAACCAAAAAAACATTAGAAAAAATGTTTTTTGAGGCTAGCCTAATTTGCCTAATAGATTATCTTTGGTTGCATCCATTTTCCTGGGAATAACTTAACTTTTTCTTTTGTAGCTGAAAGGCATTTGTGTGTGTGTGTGTGTGTGTAATCAGCTCATTTTCTGTATTCATTCCTCTACTGTTGAACATCTAATTAGCATCCATCTTTAGCTATTGTAAATAGTGGCGTACTGTTCAAGTCTGAAAGTATTTTTGTGACATTTGACATTTTTTGCTTGACTTTTTGTCCCCCTCCATCTCATTTACTTCTGCTTCATTTACTGTAGTTCCCCCTGGGTAAATATTTATTATTTGTGGTTATACAGTCAATTTTATTATCAAACTGTGCCTGGCATATATTGTACTGCTGCTATTGTAGATTAAATAGAAGTTTAGATTTATTTAAATTTTATCTCAACACATAAAAGCACTATATTCTGTTCATTTACTGTTAATTTTGAAAGAACTGGAAAACTCTCATCCTGCTAGCTGTCTCCCATGGGGTCTCCAGTTCTCTTTCTTATGGTGTGCAGAGTCCTAGCCAGGGTGAGCTTAGTTCTCTAGCATCCTTCTAGTTGCTACTTTCTAGAAACCCACTAAGAACATTTTGTTTCTCTTTTCTTAGGTATCAGAAGGGAAATGTTCCCTTGTTGTAAAAAGAAAAATAAGAAAATTTATCATATAGTAATAATTAGCCCATCAACAGAAGAGTGAGAAAACGGGAGGAAGAAGGAGCTGAGTCTGGAAGGCATTTTAAGTGTGCCAGGGAGAAGCACATGTACAAAATTACAGTGGGTTTGATAAAAAAATAAGGTAAAAGTAATCACTATGAAAATAACTCCTGTTGGATTTATGTTCTGCATCTATGAAAAATAAAAATGATTTATTGTTAAAACAAGTCTAAGTCTAACTAAAGTATGTGTCATTTATTTTCAAATTATACTATTGTGATTGAGTTATAAGTGACAAAACTCAACCTGAACAATGTGTATAAAAATATGATTATGATAGAGACCTAGGGTAGAAGAAAGTCAATGAACTGATTTCAGTGATATTCCACTATACTCGTAGGTCAGTGCCTAGCCCAATATTCGTCAGCAAGGCTTCCTTTGGGAGCTTATGGGAGAGATGAAGAGACCCAGGGCAAAACATTAAGTGGAAAGAGAGCCAAAATTGGAGATCTCCATTGGGTCCCTTCCCTTGGAGCCCCAGAAACCCTGAAGAAGAGGGGAGGAAGAATTGTAGGAGCCAGAGAGGATGAGGACACCAAGAGAACATGCCCACAGAATCAACTCAGCAGGGCTCATAGGGGCTCACAGGGACTGAGGTGACAATCAGTGAGCCTGCATGGGTCTGCACTAGTTTCTCTGGCATATACGTCATGGTTGTTGGCTTGGTGTTTCTGTGGGACTCCTAACAGTGGGAGTAAAGGCATGCCAAACCCCTTTACCTGCTCTCTGGACTCTTTTCCTCCTACTGGCTTGCCTTGTCCAGTCTTGATATGAGGTTTTGTGCCTAGTCTTATTCTATCTTGTTATGCCTTGTTCAGTTAATGTCCCAGGGAGGCCTGATGTTTTTCTGAAAGGACATGGAGGAGATTTGGTTTTGGGTGGAGCTTGGAGTAGTGGACAGAATAGAAATTGTGCTTGAAATGTATTTTATGAGAGCAGAATGAATGAATAAATAAATAAATAGAACTTGATGTACTAGTACACCAAATTTTGTTAGGTATTACAGTCTAAGAAACCACTCTGAAATTTAGTAGCTCAAGTCAGAAGTTGTTGTTGCTTAAGTCTGAGCTTGGCTGTAGGTTGCATCTGTTGGCTAAACACAGGCCCAATACAGGTGCTCCCATTTCCTCTGTGTCTGCAGTCACTGTGCACTCTGTAGGTGTGCAGCCCGAGGCAAGGGCTGGAGAGACAGTAGGTGCCTAAGGAATTCTTTTTCTTGAAGCATTGCAAGGAGCCACGACCAAATGTTCAAGGCCCCTCAAGTCCCAGGCTTACGACAAACAAAAGACTACTTCTGTTGATTCTGTTGACATGCTATTGACAAAAGCAAGTCATATGGTGAAACCCAAACCAAGAGTCTGAAAGATTCAATCCATTCTAAATGAGGTCATAATGTGTGTGAGTGTAGGGTGTAGAAAAATATTGTTATCAATGGTTAACTTCTATGTCTATTATACTCACATGTGCATGTATGAGCATATACACCATACATGCTAGGTTATAATACATGTATGTGTGATTGCAGACTGAATATTTTCTTTTTTATTCTTTGTTTTACATTTCAATAGCCAAAAATTAGACTGAATTTACTTTTCACAGGAAAAATAATAGACATTTTCTATATTTCCTCAAAGTTATCTTATATACTTTCATTGTAATAGACACTAATAAAATAAGGCTTATGCTCAATCATTATAAACCTTAAGTTAAGTTGATTCATTATACTGTCCAAGTAGCTTCCTCATCAAAAAAAGGGGGGGGGTCCAGAGGGAAGGGAATGCTGTGACTAAATTTAACTCATCGTTGAATGAAAAATTTGGGCTATTATCACAGTTGACATCCAGGAGATAGTACAGAATGCATACACTGTCTTAGCATGTGTATGCTGTATTTCTCGCCAGACCCTGGTGAGTACAGAAGAACCTGTGTCTAGCCCACTTCCTCCATATATAGTCATAGCCCACCCCAGGAAATGGTGCCTCCCATCATGAGCAGGACTTCCTAAACTACCCTAACTAAGATAAAACCTCACAGGAGAGATGCATTCTAAAGCTTACCCAGTTGATGGCTGTGGTTAACTATTATGATGCCCTTTAGAGAAAAGCAGTTTAATTAAAAACTGGACTAGGTCCTTCCCCAAGGTCACGGTAAGTCTTCTTGTGAGAAATTCCAAATTTTGGGAGCTGTTGGATTATAAAGCATAACCAGATGTTCTGAAAAGCCAAGCCAAAAAAAAAAAATCCATCAATCATTCGATCAGTCAATCAATCAATCTACTTTCTCTCTCTCTCTCTCTCTCTCTCTCTCTCTCTCTCTCTGTAGTAACTGGAAATGGGTTTGAAGGGAAACATGTCACTGATACATTTTCAGTTTTTAGTATATTGAAGTCTTTCTCATTTTTTGGTAAACCCTATTCAGTAGAGGAAGCAACATTAAACCAGACATTCAGGACATCAGAATTTTATCTATAATAAAGAACTTTTTAAAATTTATTTATTTTGATTAATTACAGTTTATTCACTTTCTATCCCCCCATAAGGCCCTCCCTCCTTCCCTCCCAGTCCCACCCTCCCCCTCCCTTCTTCACACATGCCCCTCCCCAAGTCCACTGATAAGGGAGGTCCTCCTATCCTTCCTTCTGATCTTAGTCTACCAGATCACATCAAGAGTGGCTGTATTGTCATCTTCTGTGGCCTGGTAAGGCTGCTCCTCCCTCAGGGGAAGGTGATCAGAGAGCAGGCCTATCAGATTATGTCAGAGGCAGTCCCTCTTCCCTGTGCTGTTGGTGTTCTGTTCAGGAAGTTGTCTCCTGTACCAATGAGTTCTAGGGTATTCCCCACTTTTTTTCTAACTGATTTAATGTGTCTGGTTTTATGTTGAGGTCTTTGATTCACTTGCACTTCAGTTTTGTGCAGGGTGATAAGTATCGATCTATTTTCATTTTTCTACATATAGACATCCAGTTAGACCAGCACCATTTGTTGAAGATGCTGTCTTTTCTCCATTGTATGGTTTTGGCATCTTTGTCAAAAGACCAGGTGTCCATAAGTGTGTGGGTTTATTTCTGGGTCCTCTGTTCAGTTCCATTGATCCACCATTCTGTTTCTATGCCAGTACCATGCAGTTTTTATAACTGTTGCTCTATAGTACAGCTTAAGATCAGGGATGGAGATACCTCCAAAAGATCTTTTATTGTAGAGGATTGTTTTAGCAATTCTGGGTTTCTTATTATTCCATATGAAGTTAAGAATTTTTCTTTCCAGGTCTGTAAAGAATTGTGTTGGTAATTTGATGGGAATTGCATTGAATCTGTAGATTGCTTTTGGTAAGATGGCCATTTTTACTATGGTAATCCTGCCAAGCCATGAGCATGGGAGATCTTTCCATCTTCTGATATCTTCTTCTGTCTTCAGAGACTTGAATTTTTTTTCATACAAGTCTTTGACTTGCTTGGTTAGGGTTACACCGAGGTACTTTATGTCCTTTTTTGGCTATTGTGACAGGCGTTGTTTCCCTAATTTCTTTCTTAGACCTTTTGTCTTTTGTATACAGGAGGGCTACTGATTTTGGATATGTTGTGTCTTCATTTTCATTGAATTCTAGGAAGACTTTAATTTATTTTTTTATTTCTTCCCTGACCCAGCTGTCATTTAATAGCAAGTTGTTCAGTTTCCATGTGTGTGTAGGCTTTTTGCTATTTCTGTTGTTGTTGAGGTCCAGCTTTATTCCATGGTGATCAGACAGGATACAAGGGATTATTTCAATCTTGTTGTATATGTTGAGGCTAGCTTTGTGACCAACTATGTGGTCTATTTTGGAGAAGGTTCCATGAGGTGCTGAGAAGAAGGTAAATTCTTTTGTGTTTGGCTGTAAGGTTCTGTAAATGTCTGTTAGGTCCATTTGATTCATGACCTCTTTCAGAGACATTGTTTTTTTGTTTAATTTCTGTTTTGTTGACCTGTTCTTTGTTGAGAGTGGGGTGCTGAAGTTTCCCACTAATAATGTGTGGGGATCTATATGTGGTTTAAGTTTTATCAATGTTTCTTTTACAAATGTGGGTGCCCTTGTATTTGGGGCATAGATGTTCAGGATTGTGATATCTTCCTGGTAAAATTTTCCCTTGATGATTATGAAGTGTCCTTCCCCATCTCTTTTGATTAATTTTGGTTGAAAGTCTATTTTATCAGATATTAGAATGGCTTCTCCTGCTTGTTTCTTGGGTCCATTTGCTTGGAAAGTCGTCTTCCAACCCTTTACCCTCAGGTAATGTCTATCTTTGTGACTTAAGTGTGTTTCTTGTATGCAACAGATTGCTGGGTTTTGTTTACACATCCATTCTGTTAGTCCGTGTCTTTTTATTGGAGAGTTGAGTCCATTGATGTTGAGAGAAATTAATGACAAGTGGCTGTTAGATCCTTTGATTTCGATGTTGGCTGTGGTCATAAGGTTGTGTGCTTGGTTGCTTTTTGTTTTACTGTAGTGAGGTTAATTATTTCCTGTGTTTTCTTGAAAGTAGCTGGTTTTCTTGTGTTGTATTTTCCCTTCTAGTGTCTTCTGTAATGCTGGATTTGTGTGTAGGTATTGTTGAAATTTGTTTTTGTCATTGAATATCTTGTTTTCTCCGTCTATGAGGACTGAGAGTTTTGCAGGGTATAGTAGCCTGGGCTGACATCTGTGTTCTCTTAGGGTCTGCATGATATCCATCCAGGCCCTTCTGGCTTTCATAGTCTCTGTTGAAAAGTCAGGTGTGATTCTAATGGGTTTGCCATTATATGTTACTTGGCCTTTTTCCCTTGCAGCTTTTAGTATTTTTGTTGTTGTTGTTGTTCTGTATACTTACTGTTTTGATTATTATGTGGCAGGAGGTTTTTCTTTTCTTGTCTAATTTATTGGGTGTTCTGTAGGTCTCTTGTATTCTTATAGGCCTCTCCTTTAAGTTGGGGAAATTTTCTTCATTGATTTTGTTGAAAATATTTTCTGGGCCTTGGAGGAGGAAATCTTCTTTTTCCTCTATTCCTATTATTCTTAGGTTTTGTCTTTTTATGTTGTCTTGAATTTCTTGGACGGTCTGTGTCAGGAATTTTTTAGATTTAACATTTTCTTTGACAGATACATTTATTTCTTCCATTGTATCTTCCACACCTGAGATTCTTTCTTCCATCTCTTGTAGTCTATTGGTTATGC